TGTGCTTCTGTTAAACGTACAAAAAAAAAAAAAAAAATAAACAGATTTTGATTTTGAAGAGAAAAACGATCATGGTTAAATATGTATGCCAAATAATAAAGATTGACAGATGTGTAAATTAAAAACAAACTGTAGCAGTAAGAAAAAATGAGTAGATATTTAGTTAGAGGAATTATTGTAAATACGAGGGTTGATGAAGGAGAATTTATCAAACCGGTTTTATAAATAGAGAATTTATGCAAATATTAAAGAATTTTTCAAATATGAATCGCTATTTAGGGAGAACATTTTTCCAAAATTTTTTACAAAGAGAAAAATGATCATCAATTTAGTATAAAGAGAAAAAAATGATCATCAATTTGTTATAAAGAAATGAATGATCACCTATTTTCTCTATAGAGAAGCCGATCATCAATATGCCTAAAAAAGAACGATGATCGCAGTTATAGATTAAACTGATCGACAATTTTTCATAACGAGAAATTTGCTATAAAGAAAATGATGATCACCACTTTACTCTACAGGGAAGACAATCATCAATTTGCTATAAAGAGAAAGATAATATCCAATTATCTATAAAGGCGAAACTGATCGCTAGTTTTAAAGAGAAAATTAATCGGTAAAATTTCTTTAAAAAGAAACTTGATCCCTAAAGAAAAAAATCACTAAAGAAAAATCATCAATTGGAAAGATGATCTCCACTGATCGCCAATTTTTACACTCACCATCAAAAAAGATGGTGTTACAAACGGAATGACATGATCTAAATATTGGTCATAGACCCATAAAAATATATATATTTTGGGTCCTTATTAAATTATAAGACGATCTAGCCATGTCTGTCCGTTCGTCCGTCTGTCTGTCTGTTGAAAGCACGATAGAGTCCGAACGGCAAGAGCTAGAATTTTGAAATTGTCCATAAATATATCCTATAGATAAGGTTTGTTTGGTATTGAAAATGGGTAATATCGGTCCACGTTTTCCCACAGCCCCCATAAAAGTGGCCCCCAGAAAACCAGATTTAACAGTTAACAACTCTTTTAAAAATGTGAGTACAGAGATTCGACATAAATGAGTTTCTTATGAGCAAAAATCTCTCTACCGAATTTTATGATGATCGGTTCAAAACTGATCCTTCTATAAAAAGAAAATATAACGAACATTTTCTATAAAAAGAAAATATAACGAACATTTTCTATAAAAAGAAAATTTAAGGAAAATTTTCTATAAAAAGAAAATTTAAGGAAAATTTTTTTTAAAAAGAAAATTTAAGGAAATTTTCCATAAAAAGAAAATTTAAGGAAAATTTTCTATAAAAAGAAAATTTAAGGAAAATTTTCTATAAAAAGAAAATTTAAGGAAAATTTTCTATAAAAAGAAAATTTAAGGAAAATTTTCTATAAAATGAAAATTTAACGAAAATATTCTATAAAAAGAAAATTTAACGAAAATTTTCTATAAAAGAAAAGTTAACGAAAATTTTCTATAAAAGAAAATTTAACGAAAATTTTCTATAAAAGAAAATTTAACGAAAATTTTCTATAAAAAGAAAATTTAACGAAAATTTTCTATAAAAAGAAAATTTAACGAAAATTTTCTATAGAAAAGAAATTTAACGAAAATTTTCTATAAAAAGAAAATTTAACGAAAATTTTCTATAAAAAGAAAATTTAACAAAAATTTTCTATAAAAAGAAAATTTAACGAAAATTTTCTATAAAAAGAAAATTCAACGAAAATTTTCTATTAAAAGAAAAATTTAATGAAAATTTTCTATAAAAAGAAAATTTAACGAAAATTTTCTATAAATCTATCATTAATAAATATTTTTTTGGCATTTGTTTATATGGACGATTTTCTTTTTCCTTTCTTAAGCCATAAAAATCTAATAATTGTATGAGTGTGTTTTTTCTACTAGACACACGTAGTCGCAACATCATAAAAATGCAACCTCATGCATCAATCAACAACATTAAATGAAAGTAATTATTTGATTTGTTATTGTTTGAAAGCTGCAACTTAATGTGGCAGCAATGAAATGTTGTTCTATTGCTGTTGCAGTTAAGCAAGTCAGTCACTTGTGGCAATTATGACTAACGACGACAGTTTATTGCTTGGAAAAGAAGATTGGAAAAACAATTCTTTTAAAAATAAAGACAGATTTCACTCAATCATCATTTCTCTTTCTCTCACAGTGTTGCGTCTTTTTTTATTTTAGAATAAAAACAGCAACAAACTACAACAACTACAACGTTTTGAAGAAATGAAAATTGCACAAAATATCTTCTGCCACATTACTACATACAACAAGTGGTGACTTGTTTGTATGTAAGTTGTTTGTTAACGTGTGAAATCCACATTTGTTCTTTCTTTTCGTTTCTTTTCTAAATAATTGACTAAATATTTTTTTTTCTATGTCTGAGTCTATATTTTTCTGGCTTTGTTGCTTGTAATCCGGGTAGAAAGATGTTTAGTTTGTATGGATTTTCTTTTTTGTTGAGTTTTGTCGTTATTTTTGTTTTCTAGACTTATTTTTCTTTATTGTTGTTTTCTTCTTTTGTTAAGAATAATTGCCAGGCATTAAGAAAATATGTTGCACGGTTATGAGATTATAAGCGAAAGCTAAATGTCCATAAAAATTCTTAGTTGAACAAAAGAAAAAAAAAGCACTTTAAAACATTTGTTAATGGATGGAATTAAATATAGGTTAGTATCGGCTGAAAAAGTACACTACGTGGAAAATTTGGAAATTTTCGTTAAATTTTCTTTTTATAGAAAATTTTCGTTAAATTTTATTTTTTTATAGAAAATTTTTGTTGAATTTATTTTTTTATAGAAAATTTTTGTTGAATTTTCTTTTAATAGAAAACTTTGTTAAATTTTCTTTTTATTGAAAATGTTCGTTAAATTTTCTTTCTATAGAAATTTTTCGTTAAATTTGCTTTCTATAGAAATTTTTCGTTAAATTTTCTTTTCATAGAAAATTTTCGTTAAATTTTCTTTCATAGAAAATTTTCGTTAAGTTTTCTTTTATAGAAAATTTTCGTTAAGTTTTCTTTTTATAGAAAATTTTCGTTAAGTTTTCTTTTTATAGAAAACTTTCGTTAAGTGTTCTTTTTATAGAAAACTTTCTTTAAATTTTCTTTTAATAGAAAATTTTCGTAAAGTTTTCTTTTTATAGAAAACATTCGTTAAGTTTTCCTTTAAAAAAAACTTTCGTTAAGTTTTCTTTTTATAAAAAACTTTCTTTAAATTTTCTTTTTATAGAAAATTTTCGTTAAATTTTCTTTTTATAGAAAGTTTTCGTTAAATTTTCTTTTTATATAAAATTTTCGTTAAATTTTCTTTTTATAGAAAATTTTCGTTAAATTTTCTTTTTATAGAAAATTTTCGTTAAATTTTCTTTTTATAGAAAATTTTCGTTAAATTTTCTTTTTATAGAAAATTTTCGTTAAATTTTCTTTTTATAGAAAATTTTCGTTAAATTTTCTTTTTATAGAAAATTTTCGTTAAATTTTCTTTTTATAGAAAATTTTCGTTAAATTTTCTTTTTATAGAAAATTTTCGTTAAATTTTCTTTTTATAGAAAATTTTCGTTAAATTTTCTTTTTATAGAAAATTTTCGTTAAATTTTCATTTTTAAGAAAATTTTCGTTAAATTTTCATTTTTAAGAAAATTTTCGTTAAATTTTCATTTTATTGAAAATTTTCGTTTAATTTTCTTTTCATAGAAAATTTTCGTTAAGTTTTCTTTTTATAGAAAATTTTCGTTAAGTTTTCTTTTTATAGAAAATTTTCGTTAAGTTTTCTTTTTATAGAAAACTTTCGTTAAATTTTCTTTTAATAGAAAATTTTCGTTAAGTTTTCTTTTTATAGAAAACATTTGTTAAGTTTTCCTTTAAAAAAAAACTTTCGTTAAGTTTTCTTTTTATAAAAAACTTTCGTTAAATTTTCTTTTTATAGAAAATTTTCGTTAAATTTTCTTTTTATAGAAACTTTTTATTAAATTTTCTTTATATATAAAATTTCCGTTAAATTTTCTTTTAATAGAAAATTTTCGTTAAATTTTCTTTTTATAGAAAGTTTTCGTTAAATTTTCTTTTTATAGAAAATTTTCGTTAAATTTTCTTTTTATAGAAAATTTTCGTTACATTTTCTTTTTATAAAAAATTTGCGTTACATTTTCTTTTTATAGAAAATTTTCATTAAATTTTCTTTTTAAAGAAAATTTTCATTAAATTTTCTTTTTATAGAAAATTTTCGTTAAATTTTCTTTTATATAAAATTTTCGTTAAATTTTCTTTTTATAGAAAATTTTCGTTAAATTTTCTTTTTATAGAAAATTTTCGTTAAATTTTCTTTTTATAAAAAACTTTCGTTAAATTTTCTTTTTATAAAAAACTTTCGTTAAATTTTCTTTTCATAGAAAATTTTCGTTAAATATTCTTTTTATAGAAAATTTTCGTTAAATATTCTTTTCATAGAAAATTTTCGTTAAATATTCTTTTCATAGAAAATTTTCGTTAAATTTTCATTTTATAGAAAATTTTCGTTAAATTTTCATTTTAATGAAAATTTACATTTTATAAAAAATTTTCGTTAAATTTTCTCTTTATATAAAATTTTCGTAAAATTTTCTTTTTATAGAAAATTTAAATTCTCTTTTATAGAAAATTTTCGTTAAATTTTCATTTTTCGTTAAATTTTCTTTTTATAGAAAATCTTCGTTAAATTTTCTTTTTATAGAAAATGTTCGTTAATTTTTTTAGAAAATTTTAATGAAATTTTCGATTTTAAAAATTGTCTTCCCCTTTAAAGAAATCTTTTGTTAAATTTTTCTATTTTTATTTCGTTCAATTTTCTTTTATAGAAAATTTTCGTAAAATTTTCTCTTTATAGAAAATTTATATAAAACTATCTCTTTTTAGAAAAATTTTCCTAAAATTTTAGATTTTTAATACTATTTTGTCTAATTTCACATCCTCTTGTGTTTCATTACAGATCGATGATGCTGCCATACAAGTCTATAAAGATGGTGATTATGGTTCCTATTTGGATTTGGAATCATCATTGGCTGAACAGTCGGAAGAAATTGAAGGTCTTAATTCTAGGTAAGTCGACCTAACAATTCCTAAAAAATTCCTATCACTTAAATGCTAAAAAAAACTTGTTAATTTGTTTTCAAAACGTACTTATACGTTTTCTTTTTCATACAAAAGAAAAAAATAAAACACTTCAAAACCATCAGAATTAAACGTCTGACCAATTTGTTTTTTCGTTGTTCATATTTTTTTGAAAGTGTTGTTTTTACAAAAACTATATTTAACAGCCCGTTTTTATTTTTATTACTTTTCGGTATTAGTTTCACTTTTCTGTGTCGGACACATATTGAAGCTTGATGTAATTTACCTTGAACCCCACTTTGTAAACAACATCAGCAACCGCAGCAACTGAAAACTGCAACATTTTTATTGTTTTTTTTTTGCTTCAGCTAAATGAATGATGATGTTTAGCTGAAGAAATGATGTTAAATGTTAAGTTTTCATTGTATTTGCCGGCTTGATAATTGAGTTTAAATTTTCTTTTCTTTTTGATTTTTTAATTTTTGGCTCATAAATTTTGTTTCAGTTTTATTTTTCGTTTATATGCCAAAATACGTATGTATGCCTATGTTGCAAGTAACTTTTTCTTGTCTTTCTCTGTGTCTTTGGGCCATGATCACTTCGATCGTTTTACAAGTTTATCGAGTTGCAGCAACTGTTTTAAGAAGTTTCGTTTTGCGGCACTTGAAGTCAAATTAAATTTGGTTGGTAGCCCAGAACAATTTCTTTGTGTCAACCTTTTTTTTGTTCGACCTTATTGTGCTAACTTTGGGTCCTAGTAATCATATAATCCAAACCATATAGATTAGACTATAGACTAGACTATAGACTAGACTATAGACTAGATTATAGACTAGACTATAGACTAGACTATAGACTAGACTATAGACTAGACTATAGACTAGACTATAGACTAGACTATAGACTAGTCTATAGACTAGACTATAGACTAGACTAGAGACTAGAGTATAGACTAGACTATAGACTAGACTATAGACTAGACTATAGACTAGATTATAGACTAGACTATAGACTAGACTATAGACTAGATTATAGACTAGACTATAGACTAGACTATAGACTAGACTATAGACTAGATTATAGACTAGACTATAGACTAGACTATAGACTAGATTATAGACTAGACTATAGACTAGACTATAGACTAGACTATAGACTAGACTATAGACTAGACTATAGACTAGACTATAGACTAGACTAGATAGACTAGACTATAGACTAGACTATAGACGAGACTATAGACTAGACTATAGACGAGACTATAGACTAGACTATAGACTAGACTATAGACTAGACTATAGACTAGACTATAGACGAGACTATAGACTAGACTATAGACTAGACTATAGACTAGACTATAGACGAGACTATAACTAGACTATAGACTAGACTATAGACTAGACTATAGACTAGACTATAGACTAGACTATAGACTAGACTATAGACTAGACTATAGACTAGACTATAGACTAGACTATAGACTAGACTATAGACTAGACTATAGACTAGACTATAGACTAGACTATAGACTAGACTATAGACTAGACTATAGACTAGACTATAGACTAGACTATAGACTAGACTATAGACTAGACGATAGACTAGACTATAGACTAGACTATAGACTAGACTATAGACTAGACTATAGACTAGACTATAGACTAGACTATAGACTAGACATAGACTAGACTATAGACTAGACTATAGACTAGACTATAGACTAGACTATAGACTAGACTATAGACTAGACTATAGACTAGACTATAGACTAGACTATAGACTAGACTATAGACTAGACTATAGACTAGACTATAGACTAGACTATAGACTAGACTATAGACTAGACTATAGACTAGACTATAGACTAGACTATAGACTAGACTATAGACTAGACTATAGACTAGACTATAGACTAGACTATAGACTAGACTATAGACTAGACTATAGACTAGACTATAGACTAGACTCTAGACTAGACTATAGACTAGACTATAGACTAGACTATAGACTAGACTATAGACTAGACTATAGACTAAGTAGACTATAGACTAGACTATAGACTAGACTATAGACTAGACTATAGACTAGACTATAGACTAGACTATAGACTAGACTATAGACTAGACTATAGACTAGACTATAGACTAGACTATAGACTAGACTATAGACTAGACTATAGATACTAGACTAAGACTAGACTATAGACTAGACTATAGACTAGACTATAGACTAGACTATAGACTAGACTATAGACTAGACCTATAGAATAGAGACTAGACTATAGACTAGACTATAGACTAGACTATAGACTAGACTATAGACTAGACTATAGACTAGACTATAGACTAGACTATAGACTAGACTATAGACTAGACTATAGACTAGACTATAGACTAGACTTAGACTAGACTATAGACTAGACTATAGACTAGACTATAGACTAGACTATAGACTAGACTATAGACTAGACTATAGACTAGACTATAGACTAGACTATAGACTAGACTATAGACTAGACTATAGACTAGACTATAGACTAGACTATAGACTAGACTATAGACTAGACTATAGACTAGACTATAGACTAGACTATAGACTAGACTATAGACTAGACTATAGACTAGACTATAGACTAGACTATAGACTAGACTATAGACTAGACTATAGACTAGACTATAGACTAGACTATAGACTAGACTATAGACTAGACTATAGACTAGACTATAGACTAGACTATAGACTAGACTATAGACTAGACTATAGACTAGACCTATAGACTAGACTATAGACTAGACTATAGACTAGACTATAGACTAGACTATAGACTAGACTATAGACTAGACTATAGACTAGACTATAGACTAGACTATAGACTAGACTATAGACTAGACTATAGACTAGACTATAGACTAGACTATAGACTAGACTATAGACTAGACTATAGACTAGACTATAGACTAGACTATAGACTAGACTAGACTAGACTATAGACTAGACTATAGACTAGACTATAGACTAGACTATAGACTAGACTATAGACTAGACTATAGACTAGACTATAGACTAGACTATAGACTAGACTATAGACTAGACTATAGACTAGACTATAGACTAGACTATAGACTAGACTATAGACTAGACTATAGACTAGACTATAGACTAGACTATAGACTAGACTATAGACTAGACTATAGACTAGACTATAGACTAGACTATAGACTAGACTATAGACTAGACTATAGACTAGACTATAGACTAGACTATAGACTAGACTATAGACTAGACTATAGACTAGACTATAGACTAGACTATAGACTAGACTAGACTAGACTATAGACTAGACTATAGACTAGACTATAGACTAGACTATAGACTAGACTATAGACTAGACTATAGACTAGACTATAGACTAGACTATAGACTAGACTATAGACTAGACTATAGACTAGACTATAGACTAGACTATAGACTAGACTATAGACTAGACTATAGACTAGACTATAGACTAGACTATAGACTAGACTATAGACTAGACTATAGACTAGACTATAGACTAGACTATAGACTAGACTATAGACTAGACTATAGACTAGACTATAGACTAGACTATAGACTAGACTATAGACTAGACTATAGACTAGACTATAGACTAGACTATAGACTAGACTATAGACTAGACTATAGACTAGACTATAGACTAGACTATAGACTAGACTATAGACTAGACTATAGACTAGACTATAGACTAGACTATAGACTAGATAGACGACTATAGACTAGACTATAGACTAGACTATAGACTAGACTATAGACTAGGACTATAGACTAGACTATAGACTAGACTATAGACTAGACTATAGACTAGACTATAGACTAGACTATAGACTAGACTATAGACTAGACTATAGACTAGACTATAGACTAGACTATAGACTAGACTATAGACTAGACTATAGACTAGACTATAGACTAGACTATAGACTAGACTATAGGCTAGACTATAGGCTAGACTTTAAACACGACAATAGTCTCGACTCTATATCATATTATAAATTCGGCTATAGACCTAACTTTAGCCTCTAGTATAGATCAGGCTACAGAGAAGAAAGATATTGCAACAAGAGATGTTACATTTTCACTCCTTCAAAAAACAAACTTTATTTTTACAAATTCTTCGGCCCCTTTTGAAATTCAAGTTGGTATATCCGTTTTCCTTCAAATTCATTTAAGTACAGGATGTCAGTGTATAGAGCATAAATTTTGTGGGTTGACATTTGATGTGGGCATTATTTGTAAATAAACAACAAAATTTCACTGGGTTTCTGGGCCACCAAAAATATACATATACACACAAACATTGGATCCAGCTACACAAAACACAGTTTGTGGCAAGTTCTCTTTGTTGTTGGGTTTTGTTTTTCACCAACATGTTCACGTTTTCAACTTAATGCCAGTTTTGTTAACTGGACTGGACGTTTAAATGTATAGCGGGATTTGTATGTTTTTTTTAAGATTTTCTAAAGTCGGACAGCTGTGAGTGTGTGTTGCAGTTTTTTTTCAGGTATTTTTATACGTGGGAGTCAATTTCGCTGTATCCCGGCAGCGGTGACTTGTTACCATCATAAAAATGTGCTACAAAAAAACAACCGAAGCAACATACTAAAAAGTAGATTGTTGTAAAAAAGTAACAAGTTGCAAAATGCCTTTCACTTGATAATTTATTAACGATGATTATGTTACAGAGTCGCATGAAAAGGAAATTGAAGACGGACCAACTGACTGGTCGATGGACACATGGACGGACAGTTTGTATAAATCCATACATTTTAGTAAGATTTTTTTTTTCGCTAAAGAGAATGGCCACGTTTTGTGTTCAAAACAACATTTTATGAGCGTTTTTTTTTTCTTTGTTGTTCGTTCATAACTTCTTCATGTCGTCAGTCTTAATTTCAATTTTTTTTGAGCTCTAGAAATAAAAAATAAAAAAT